TGTTAGTGTCGTCAAGTCGGATATGACAAAGATAAATATCATCAAGAGGAAACAATCTGATAGAGCCATGAAGATGTTTGTTCGCTGCTATAGGGATACCCTTGAGTTAACAAAAGTGGATGTACAATTGGATGCTATCAATGTCTTGGTTCAGTTCTACGATCCGCCGCTAATATGTTTCACTTTTCAAAATTTTCAACTAGCGCTAACTTTGGAGGAATTTGATAGAACTTTAAATTTTTCTCAAAGCAAAGTTTATGTGGGATTTGAACAGATTGTCGATGTTAAAGAATTAGCAAGAAGTTTAGGGATACCCTATGCTGATTTGTCACCTAATTACAAAAGATATGGTGATGTGCAAGGGATCAAAAAACAATATTTGGAAGTTAAATCCCTTCCTTTTTCCAATAAGAAAGAATCGGAGTCTTGTGTTGATTGTTTGGTACTGCTTGTCTTTGGTGTAATTCTATTTCCGTGGACTTTGGCCTATATTGACCCTGCAACTATTAGTGTGTTTTGGGCCGCAAAAGCATTAAATGTGGACCTAACTCTTGCTTTACTTGTTGATGTTTATTATGTTCTTCATACTCGTTATGAAAAGGGGAGAGTGTGTTAAATCGTTGCATCCCTTTTTTATATTCTTGGCTCACCTCTCACCTCTATAAAGAATACTACATGGTTCCAAATCTGACAACTTACGAATGGCCCCAAAAACTAAGGACTCTCACCGCCGATTCTATTCTATGGTATGCAAGAAAGTTAAGCATTGGAGATATCATTTATAGTTGTGGAGACTTTCCGAATGTTCCTTTGGTTGGGTCACGTGGATGCATTAATCATAACCCCACTTTGGCTTTATGCTAACTTGGATATCCTTTAGAAGACAAACCCTCTGACGAGAAACTTCAACAATTGATCATTCATAACATGGGTAAATATGATTGTGATTTGCTCAATAAAATCATTCGAGCTTGGAGTATAGTCATTAAAATAAAGGCCAAAAGTAAAAATTTTATGGCGAGGGAACCCTACACTCAATGGCGAGGGAACCCTACTTTTAACTTGGATTCCCATAATCAATGTTTGGATGATCCCGCGAGGGAAATTGGAAAACTAACTAGGTGGTATGAAAAAGTTTGGCAAGACAAAAAGGAGATGCAAGCAAATGTGAGAGCCCAAATCCAAGGGTTAGCACAAGGAGCTCTAGAATCAGAAGACAACATCCAGTTCCTTACCACTAGTCTTTGTGAAAGCCAGGAATCAGAGGTAAGAGAATGCCTTAGAAAGATTGAAGTAGAGAATCTTCTCTCTCAAAAGATAGAAGAATATGAGCAAGTCTGTCATGAGCTAGAAGACCTCCTAAAGAATTTCCTCATACAAAGAAGACTCTATACAGAGATGAGGGCTGAAAAATTATATTGGGAAGGATAATATGAAAATATCTCCAAAGCCAGAGAAGATAATAAGAAGATAGTTTTGAACCTCTACAAGGAATACCGGATCTACAAAGACATGCACGCAAAGCTTGCCTTCCTAGGCAACAGTCTCATTAAAGATGTTCCAAGGAGCCTAAAAGATGTAGAAGCAACAATGGTTCCTCTCCTGAAAGACGTTTGTCATACCACAAATTTGCTCTACTGATTTCAAACAATTTATTCCTTATTATTATTAGTACCCAGTATCATCATTTCCTCTATAATATATTGTTGTTAAATTCATATATATGGGGTTTACATTTATAGAGGGGGTGTATCGTTTCAAAAAGGGACCATCAAAATCTGATGGCCCATTAAGCTTTCCTTACAATTAGAAAGGAGGTATATTATTAAGGGGGTTTGCTTGCTGAAAATGAAATCTTGGTTTATTTGGGCCCATTAAGATATTTGTTGAAGCCCGTTTAGAATGAACAAGAGGGGGTTTGTTTTCTTAGTTGGGTTATAGACTTTGTTAAGATTAAAGGCCCGGATCGAATCGTCATTTTTGAAAGGCCCATTCTCTTCTTGATAGAGGTTCATCTGCGTTTTGTTGTATTTGTTTTTTATTATTATTCAAAACATTATTAATATTATTAATAATATTATTATTGTTGTTACTTATTATTTTACTGTTATTTTTGTGAGAGTTTGACTAAGTCAACTTAGGGCAAGAACCCTAATTTTGATCTAGCCCAGAAAACAAAAAACAACAAAATAATTATTGTGGAGATTCAATCCAAAAGCATAACAAATCAAATAAAATATTTAAAAAATCAAAAACTTATACATATCCAAATCCATTACAATCATATCAATTACATAACAAATTGTCCAAACTTTTAATACATAATCAAATCTAACTTACAACAAATCAATTGCAATCTCTAATTTCCTCTAATCTAATCACTAACTTATAAACTAAATCAATTAGTAATGAAAATCAGAAAAATTCCTAATTCATCTAAATGTTCTAACCTATAAATAAAACCTAAAACTATTTGAAAGGGGAGAGGAGAATTTGGAGAAAAATCGTAACAATGAGAAAGTCAATCCGTGAGTCAGTCACCTTCCTGAGATCTGGGTATCAATTTTTGAAACCCTAAATCTGTACTTTAAGTCATGCCTCCATCATATATGTTGTTGCCACCGCACTTCGCACCTACAATCAGAAGAAGAAGAAAAAAAGATTAGACAAAGGGAGAAAGATCCAAAAGGAGATTTACAAGAAGAATCACTCCATGAGAGGTAAGTTGATCCACTTAGCTTAGGTTTTTTGTTTAAATATGTGATATTATATTTTGCTTTGTGATTTCTCAATTTCAAAAGGGATTAGAGTTCATCACTTAGGGTTAGGGTTCATCACTTAGGGTTAGGGTTCATCCATATAGGGTTAGGGTTCTAAGGGTTTGTGCTTCCGAGTTGGATAAAGGTTAGGGTTCTTGGGATTTGGTTGAAGATTGGGGTTAGGGTTCTTATGGTTCTAAGTTTATGGGCTTTGGAACGATGGTGTAGCATGAAGGTTTGAATTTTTCGATTGAATAGCAACCGGAAAACTGGACATGAAGGGTGTTTGGTGGTGGCTTATGGTGGTGACTACCGACGGAAGCAATTTTCGGTCGGCGGGGCAATTTTTGATCGCCTAGAGAGAAGCAAGAGCTTCTCTCTCTAAAAATACATCACTTTTGGGATAGAGAGAGAAAGGATAAGAGAAAATGAGGCCCAGCGTTGGGTCTCTGTTTTTATAAACCCACTCTGAGATTCCCTGCGCCTCACTTACTACGCATCATCAACATCCTTCATTTGATTTAAATCAATTGCTCCAGATCGCGTCCTCGCGATAATGTCACAACACTCGCATACACCAGATCCACACGAGTGCCCCTTGGGTCAATGTTGGGCCAAGCCCATTGCTAACAACACCACCCCTTTTTTTAATTTTCCTACTATGTTTGAAGTTGTACCCCCATGTGCTTTTGGGCCCAGTTCAATATCTGAACTTGAGCCCTTGCTGAACCAACCCCAAATCTTGCTATGTAGTACACGTCTATCCCCCGTTTTATTTTTGGGCCTAAATCCAATATCTTGATTTAGGGCCCTGCTTTTTACACCCCCTGAATTACTTAATCCAAATAAAATACACCCCCTTTGCGTTTTAATTTTTATTTTATTTTATTTATTTTACATTATAATTAATATTTTTAATATTTAATATGTTTTTTATTATTAAATTAAAAATTCTTTTTTTTACTAACTCATTCTTAATTACTTTTAAATTGCATTAAAATTCTTTTCATTATGCATTAAAAGTATTTTTCTTATATTATATAATATATTTGAAAATATTTAACCGATCAAATACTAACCACTCTTTTACTAACTTAATAAACTCAAGACTTTATTTTTGAAAAGGATATTGGAGATGTTTCTCGTTAACTGTGAGTTTTGTCTAACAACTCTGCTATTCACAGACCCGGACTTGGTTCAAGGAGAATTCGAAATATCTTCGTAATCCATAAAAAAAAACACCAACCAACTATGAACTACGAATTGGGACTCTGATTCCTCATAAGAGGATACTTAGGCATACGACTTAAAATCGTGGCGAGTTCCCCTAATTAAAATTAAAACCTTATTCCTAAACCGTAAACCTAAACCCTAGTATCCTTGTGAACAAGGTAGATGAGGGGTGTCTAACACCTTCCCTTCGTCTAAAACTAGTCAACAACTTATAATCTCTTATCAAATTAGGGTTATCTATTATATTTCCTTCCCTAAGATAAAAATTAGTGGTGGTGACTCTTACTTTTAAATCGGTTATTACAACTGGCGACTCTGATAGGGACTCAACCCTAGAGTTTAGAAACCTTTTCTTTTGGTTTAGGACTTTTAGGGTTTTTTTTATTCTTCTATTTTAATTTTTTTTATTTATGGGTTAAATAAACAAATCCCCCTATAATGTTAGCGAGTTTAGCTTTTATCCCCTAGTAAAGTTTTTTTTTAAACACCCCCTTGCAATTTCCAGATTCCGTCTACAACACCCCTTAGCGCCAGATTCCTCCAAAGATTCATTGACTTTTCCAGCATGGCATTTTTATATTTACAGCTTTTGGACATTTTACTCTAAACATGTTTTCATTCAAATATTATTCATGATTGTTTTCTATATAAACACTAATATTGTTAACATCCCAACCGATGTGGGACTATTTTGCCAGCAATTAACCATACTAATAGAACAACAACCACATTTAACATGCCTGCAATATCAATGCTTCTTGGTGCATTCCCAACTTGAAGCAACCACTTAGAAGCATGGAAAAGAGTGTTCCATGCATCTTTCATCTAAAGAAAACTTGTGAGAAATTCTATTTCAAATTTCATTCAACTACATTCCGGATTTTTGCTCCAACCTTCAACTAATGTAAGTTTGAAGAAATTGAAATTAGTGATGATCATTACTCCTCGCATGCATTATGTTGCAAGATTAGGCAACTGACTCTTGCCTTTGAAACCTCCAAACACCGATCATTCATTTCTGCAACCGACAAAGAGCTTCATTGGATGGATGGGAAGCAACTTTGGGGATGAATGAATTCCCAATAGTACAGTCAATCCCCAACCCTGCATTTACAAAAATTGACATGAAAATTACTATAAATGACAATGAATCTACTGAATTTGTTTTGCTGCTATGAATATAAGTATACTTCATGAACACACAAGAAGGCATCTCTTAGAACATTCAAATTTCTTGTACATTCAAAACTATAGTCAGCACCTCCTCCGGTCATTTCTCTGATTCTCTAGACATGAATCATTCTTCTGGTGAAAATGAATGTGCAGATTATATTTTCTACGGGAAAGGAGAGGAGAGAAAACACCAACCTCATATATCGGCTTCTCTTCATCGGTTGGATTTATGAAGTCTTTGATTCCCATATCTCGGGCTTTGAGCACAGAGAAAATACATTTCATGTAGACAAATTACAAAGTTATTACATCAGTGGAGGAGAAATCTTAAGAAAGCTTCATGTGATGAATTTGTCTTTATTAATATCCACACCTATTATTTTGGAAGCACCTCTGGCTCATGCACCTTCGGAAACCTGGCCAATGTGCAATATAAATAAAGCTTTTTCAATAATGAATGTAGTTGAATGAAATTGAATGTAGGTTGGAGCAAAAATCATGAATGTAGTTGAATGAAATTTCCAATAGAATTACAAGTTTTCTTTAGATGAAAGATGCATGGAACACTCTTTTTCATGCTTCTAAGTGGTTGTTGCAAGTTGGAATGCACCAAGAAGCATTGATATTGCAGGCATGTTGAATTTAGTTGTTGTTCTATTAGTATGGTTAATTGTTGGCAAAATAGTCCCATATTGTTTGGGATGTTAACAACATTAGTGTTTATATAGCAAACACTCATGATTAATATTTCAATGAAAAAATGTTTAGAGTAAAATTTCCAAAAGCCCAACAAGTTACTCATTAATTTTTATTTAAATAATTATTAAAAACAATTTAAAAATAAAAACAGAAATGATAATTAATATATATTCTGTAAAAATTAAAAATAAACAAAAAAAATCCACGTGGATTTAACAAATAAAAATACAAATAAAAGCCACATTATTAATATAAAAATGCCATGCTGGAAAAAGTTAATGAATATTTGGAGGAATCTGGCGCTAAGGGATGTTGTAGACGGAATCTGGAAATTGCGAGGGGGTGTTTAAAAAAACTTTACTAGGGGATAAAAGCTAAACTCGCTAACATTGCAAGGGGGATTTGTATATTTAACCCTTTATTTATTGTTGTTTATTATTATATTTTTATCTTTTATCATTTGTTGGTGGGATTTTATTTCAAAAAAAAATATATTTTCAAAAACCTAAGAAAGAAGGTCCGTCTATTGGCCAAGGGGATATATCATCCCTATGAGTTTTTGTGACAACTTCGCCTAGAGTCGGTGGAATTCCAAAAAAAAAAAAGAATATGTCTCAAGAGGTATCCTCTTGGGGTACAGGACTTGGGAATGAAACCTATGACTTTATGTATAACTTTCAACCAGAATCTCATAGTGAGACCTTTCACGGCCTTAGAGATGAAAGTTTCGGTCTACAAAGAGGCTCCACTTGAGGGAGGACCTTGTGCCTTTATCTCTAGTGTTATCCATGATACCCTTAAGGAAATCACCTTATGGGGAAGGTAGAATATACGTAAGCCAAAACTAGGAGCCTACCATATAAGGATACCTTTCCTAAAATCCTGTCACTAAGCCACGCAATCATGCATTCATGCATCTTACATTTCACATATTCATTATTCTCTATTCTTTTTTGTTTGTCTTATTCACAGGATTAAAAAAATAAGTCAAAGGTTTTGGTGAGTGTCTTAAAAATGAATGCCAGAGGAAAACAACTTGTATGTGTTAATGTCATCAAGCCAGATATGATGAAGATTAAAACCATCGAAGGGAAACTGTCTGAAAGAACTTTGAAGATGTTTACTCGTTGTTATGGGGATACCCTTGAGTTGAAAAAATTGGATGTACAATTGGATGCTATCTCCTCCTTGGTTCAGTTCTACAATCCTCCATGGAGGTGTTTTACCTTCCAAGACTTTCAGTTAGCGCCGACTTTAGAAGAATTTGATAGACTCTGTTGTACCCCAAAATTTGCCCTCCCATATGCTTCAAAGTTTGTCAAGAATCATCTTCAATTGGTTCAAGACTACTCAAGGGTTGCACAGTCCAATTGCCTCCTAAGGCAGTCAAAATTAGGGTTTTGGTTCTTGCAATGAATCTGAGGTTTTCAATGGCTCAATCAAGTCCCATAGGTCCATATACATTGCCAAGCATCTACATGTCAAGTCTCAAGACTCACAGCATCAAATTGCACAATCAAAAGCTGCATTTGCTTCACAATCAACTATAGGGGCAAAATGGTCATTTTGCAGTCAAAAGTCAAAAAAATTGGTCAACATCTTATTTTGAAGCCACAATCATCATTTGATCAATTCTTGATCATGGTTCTATAAGCATGGCTCAAAAATCATCAAGATGCAAAAGTTTCTATTTTTGGACAGCTGAAAAGTCAACTGTAACTTGACCAAGGCATAACTTTTTCATGGTTCATCAGAAAAATCCCATCCAATGCTAATTTTGAAGGGGATGACATTTCCTACAACTCATCTTCACATTCCAAGCCCAAGAAATGCTCCGACAAAAAGTTATCAATTTCTACATTATAGGTCAATTTCAAAAGTCAACAAAAATGCACTTTAAGTCAAAGACCATAACTTAAGATTGGTAAATCAAAATAACATGGGACCAAAGGCATTGGTTAGAGGACTTCAAGACCTTTCCAAAATATCCAAGAACATGTTCATATGATCAAAATTGAGCAAGATATGCATTGGAGAAGTTGGGAAATTTTTGGGAATTTGCAAAAGTCAACTTTGCCTAAAACACCTCATTTTTGCTAATGGGCCTCAAATTCCTTCTTGAAACTTTGTCCAAGGCCTATGCACGATCCATTGAACTTAAATTGAATTATTTTCTTATTTTTATTAATTATTTGGATTTTTAATTGATTAATAATTCATTTAATTAATTTAATTGTAGGAAAATGCCAAGATATGTTTTTCAAATCTTTTGTGGAGCAAATAAACTCTATACATGCTGGAGATTTCGTTTGCCAATCAAAGAGACCAGAATATCCAAAATTGGCAAGTTTTCTCAATCAAAAGATACAAAAATATTTGATTGGAAATCAAAGATGCAAAACATTATTCCATGGATTCTTGGACAAAAGTTTTACCCTAATTCCATTCCAATACAAATACTGAAGCAAACCCTAAAGCCTTGAACGTGCAAGCTGCTGCAAAAAAGCCATAAGCAAATTCCAAAACTTCAAGAAAACTTGAAAACTGAATTCCACCTTCCAGGCCAATTCAAAGCCCTTTCTTGATTCAAACACATTGCTAACATTCCCAGGAACGGTTTGGAATAAAAAACAAGCCTTAACACTCCAAGAATACGCAAGAACAAGTCACACGGTTTGGTTTTTTTCCCATAATCGCATATCATTATTCATGCATATTTAACCTCTTTTTTGGATTATTTTGTGTTAATAGGACTGATACGAAGCTGTTGGTATGATTCAATTGTATTATGGTGCCCTGAAACAGAAAACGCCATTGTTGACTTCTATGTTTTTCAAGCTCTCGAATTAGGGCTTTACAGCATAAGCAAAATTAGACCTCAAGACGCACATGGTTGAAACCGTCTGAATGAGACGAAGACATTGAAACCATCGCGCCCTATTTATATGTACTGTACGCCTAATCACTATTTTCTGTGGTTGCATTTTGTGGGGGTTAAAAACCCCCGCTATTTGTTTTGTTTTTATAGGCAAAAGGAAGAAGATGACTGCGTTGTCTACACGTGATTGGACAATTCAAATATGACGCGCGCTTTTTTATGTTTCCAGCATATGTTGTTGATTTATATAATATATTTAATTGCCACTATAATAACCAAGACAACGCCATGGCCTAGTGGAAAATGAGGTGTCTGGTCACCATTGGGACCTGGGTTCGATTCTCAGGTCCCCCAAAAATTCTATGTTATTTTTCACATTGTGTTCCTATGCAGATTCATAACAACATTCCACCATGGGCTCCCACGTTCCCAGCGTGCCAAGTGTCTTCAACAGCCATCCAAAGGCCATGAGAGGAGGACTACCATGCTCCCTAGTCAACGTGCCTCTGGACGATTCAATAAAGTCAGCGCAGGCTTGGCTTATTGGGCCTAAGATTTCCAACTTTCACCTCCATTGGGTCTATCAAACCCCCCTGGTTTTACTATTTTTTATTTTATTTTCTTTTTCCTTTTAATTCTTTTAATCATTATTAATTATTATTATTAACCAACAAACTAATTTTTTATAATAAATTCAGAGATCAAAAATTGTAAATATTTTTATTATTTATTATTTTTACTAAGTATTATTATTTTTGTAAATAAAATACTAACAAATTAATTAGTTTAATTAGGTAATTTTGACCTTTTTTAATAATAAATAAAATAAACTTAGAACTAGGGTTTTCTTGACTTTTAATTTCCTTTTTTCTTTTTATTTTCATTAAAAACATAAAAAACAAAAAAACATTTTTCTTTAATTAAATAATTAATTAGTACTAGGTTTAATATTTTAATTAAATTGCAAAAAAGGACCAAAACTTAAATTCTTTTCTCAAAAGGGTCAAAAACCCTAGGACGTCCCGATTAAATTTCTTTTCGCACTTTAATTCTTATTTTGATTATTTATGTATCTGTTCAAAGGATGTAATAGTTAATTAGGATTTTATTGCTTTCTTTACTTTCCGCATTTATTTCCAAACGGGTTTTTGTTTTTGGCGATGTATAGACCCGCACCTTGTAATAGCGTAGATTCATATTTCCGCACTTTATTTTCCGCACTCTTAACTGTTAAAATGCATGAAAGACTTGTATGAATAATAAAACCAATTCGTAGCTCACAAATAACATGCAAAGACAATTTAACATGAACACAACACACAAGCACATGCCACTTCTAGGGTACGCCTCACTGGTTGCCTCGAACGTGGTCGTCAAGTATAGGGTGTTTTAGAGGTCGCCCTCCTGTCTAAGATCAAGTTGCCTCGAAACTGTTGCCTCGGATAAAAAAGGATCTAGGACATTAGGGTTAATTCTAAGGTGTCCTACTATTGCTTTGGTGACCACACATGTCCCTTATCATCGAATTGACCCGAATAACTCCAACGATGGTGCTACCTACCTCTCAATGGTGGGATAGCATTATCTAAAGGACTCTTACACAACCTAATTCCTTAGAGTAGGTAGATTCTCGTGTGTACTTGCTCTTTTCAAAAACAAACAAAACAACTTT